AGTGGTACTTTTTCTGTTTTGTCTTAAAAAGTGCCCTCAGCTCCATTTTGGCATCTTTCATAGTGTTTACTAGGATTCCTGGCATTCCACTTTCTCTTGGAATATTTTAGACTCCATATAAGCTAGCATGTTCTTCAGCTACAAGTAACATAAAGCTGAGAAAGTTAATTATTTAAATCCTGATTCCCTCAGATAAATGAATGTTTGAGATATGCAATTCTGAATGGGAAGAGTACCTCCAAACTGTCCCCAGAGTACCAGACTCCTCCCACCTTCCTGCTCTGTCATCATGAATGGGTGGCTTTCACCCTCATGTTTACAGTATGGCTGCTGCACCTCTAGGCATCACATCTTTATTCCAGGCAGCAAAAATGAGAGACAGATAAGGTCAAAGAGCATTTTCAGCTGAGTCTTCCCCTTTGTCTCAGAGAAAACGGTGGCTACTTTAAAAGTCTCACTGAAGAAAATCCTGATGTTAGCTGATTAGACAGAACTATGTCATGTGGTCATCAGTGGCTCAAAGGAAGCCTAGAAAATTGAGGTTTTTTTTAGCTAGACACATGGCTGCCCAAACATAATGGGGGTTCCCTTAGTAATGGGAGAGTGGTGATAAATACTGGGTAAAACAATCTTAGAATCTTCTACAGTTCCCTCTGTGGTTAGGGTTACACATTCATGCTTGATGTCATAGTTGACACTGGACTGGGCAGGGACAGCCTGGCACGGGGTCACTTGGTCGTTCCACAGGTTTTCCCATAGCGCGCCCAGTCTGAGGGGAGACAGCGGCTCAGGACCCGGAGGGTGGGGAGTGGCCGCTTTCCAGGGAGCAGGAGGGAGGAGCAGCTGATCTGGGGAGGGGCTGCGGTGGGAGCAGGTGGCCGGGAGGAGGGCCCAGTGGGAGGAGGGCCCAGGTGGGAGGAGGGCGCAGGCGCTACCTGGGATGTCTGGGAAGACGATGTTGGTCTCCGACAGGCCCCGGGCTTTGAGGAGACAGAGGAATTTTTCCAGCGCCTCCGTCTGAAGCGCCCACGCTCTGACTGCAGCCCAAGACACAGCGTGGCCTTAGCCCTGGGGGTGGACACCCCCTCCCGCTGGTGTGGCCCCCAGCACAT